GGCAGGTGGCTGAATTTTACGGAGACTTGCCACGGTCTCCAACCCTCCTCCTTTCTCATCCAGGCTTGGGGCCGGTCGTGGCGGAGCTAAGGATTGGAATTTCAAGGCATAAATGAATTACCTCAGAATACAAACAATTGTTGAATAAATTGCACAGCCGGTCACTGAATTCTACTTTTGCAACATTAATGACACTTTAGCCAGATCTTCGTTCGACCAAACTGTGCTGTTCGTTTTGCGAGAATCGACGATATGTCTTAATTTAAATCCATCTTACAAAATCTGGAATAATGATAGTTAACAAGTTCCTATAAGAAAAAGCGCATCTGCAGAACCAGATTCAAAACAACGTAGGATTTCGTTTTTCTCCGTGCAGATCATTAATTAGTTGTTCACGTCGATTTCTGCCACTTATTTCCAGTGTTCTCTTGATTGAATGGATCCTTTAGGTTTAATAAATGGATATTACTAATTTCCTTGCGGATCTGCTGCCGAATGCGGCAGTGTAGTGCAATTCCACAAGCTTGTCAGACCTGCTCACTCGAGTAACGTCAGTATTTTATTTCCATGTCGTGACGTACTTTCGGGTGACTATCGCTTCAGGGAGAAAACGCATTTATCCATATGAAGTTTATTTAAGAGCTGATTGCTTTCACCAGGCCGTTTGAAGATCGATCATCATAAATCGGCCAGTTCATCGTGCCTTTCTTGGACTTCCAAAAACGGAAAATACACATATCAGGTGACGAAATTGAGGGTCTGAATTGCGCTGCAACACTTTATTGGACGTCTTCGGGATAATGCTAACGACAGAATGATCTGAACCAACAATGGGCAGGAGCTGGTTTAACCTGAACGCCGCTGGCGTATTGGTCATTAGGCAGTCAGGATATGCCGACAAGTGCGGAGAGAACGTAACGATGTTGGAAAATCCGGGTTATGCTGCAATTACTTTTACTGCCTGTTGAAACCGCTGGCGACAAAAATCCAAGGCTTGTCCAGATATTTGGACGTGTAAATAGTTAAAATGTTCGCGAAAGAATTCAATTGCATGGCAATGCAAACAGATGCGATGTAAAGGTTAGTCAGAATTAGGTTGAAGTGACCTGACAAGTACGGAATGGCAAAGCAAAAATTCAATAATAAATCGTATTGAAAGAAATTTTATTTTAAAGTCTGGTTCCAACTTCACCAACAACCAAAACAAGCCGCTCCCATAAACTGGAAATAATACGCAAAATTTTGATTTCACGCCATTATTGGTATTGCAGCTCATAAATAAATACAAATACAATAAATATCAGTCGATCATGTGAGAACTCACGCGTACATACAGTACAAACTTCACGGTGAGAGTTGCCTGTCGATAAATTCATGTCGCCACGCACTGCTTGCTACCGTTCAGTAGCTGGATTCGACTATATAAACAGGAAAGAAGTTGCAACACCGGCTGCTGCAGCATGCTAGTCATCACGCTAGGTCCCTGCCGCAACAGTCCAACAGTCTGAAGGGCGAAGTCCTCTGGCCGCTTCGCTTTCCGGAAAGTTTCCACTTGCTTCGGAGTCAGGATTCGACCGTCAACCACGCAGGCTAAACGCAGAAATGCCAAACAAACAAAGGGTCACCGTTTTTATAAACGCAGCCAGAATAGTTTAGGTAGAGTGACAGTTCAAAAAATTGCAGTCCATACCTCTATACCTGTTAAACCTGGATAGCTCTAATTTGCCTCTCAGTACAGACTGATAATGTATCTTTCTTACTGCATTATTGCCTAAGCTTCAGCCTTTATTAATGCCATGATGTAAACTCAAACAGGCAGGCAACAATGCTGGGGCTTAGTAATAAGGGTAAGCCTAGCACAAATCCAGTAAAACGGGGTAAACTATCGGCTTGGACTGAATGCAAATCATTTACTTACTGGCATAATAAGCAAATTTCAAGGTAGTTGTGGAACGAGGAATTGAATAGTTGTCTGCTAGAAAAACAGTTAAGGATTCTCAGCTCTTGATCGGTGGATCAACGCAACAACTGAGCAGGATGATATAAATTTCAAGATATTTAAGAACGTTTCAAGATATTAATTCAAGATATTATACATAAATATAGATTTACATCAAAATATTTACGTATACTTATGAAAAACTGAAGAAAATTGCAAGTGCCAAGGTAAGCAGTTACTACCCGTACAGCGCAATTCAAACCTGAATCATAAAACAACGGCCATCGCTGAGATTTGACTGAAGTTTTCAATTATGACGATAAAAATAAATAAAACGTAACCTTAGAGCATTACTGCATCTCAACCTAAAACCAGACGGATACAACCATGAAAACATTTAACTTAAAATCATCTGGAACTTATGAACACCCTGATGGAAACACGGCCCCAGCACTTATGAAACGCTAAGCCTGCCCCAGAGCTTTAAGTCTTTCACACCTCCTTTTGCTAGTCCGTCAAACAGCATCACGGAAAAAGTGGTGAATGTAAACATAAAGCTGCTACTGCAAAGTTGAACATATTTTCAGATGTTATTACGTGAAACGGAGCCATAAGTTTTTCACCGGTGAGTCTGTTTCACAAGATAACTGAACAATCCACTGAGAGCTATTTCTTTATGAACGCATGGAAATATTCAGAGCAATGTATCGACGGCTAGACTATCAGAAACGTGAAACTGACAGTAACATTTAACGAAGTAACGAACTATCTGGCGTGTGAAACCATACACATTCAGAGGAAAACTGAACAAACTACTCTCAACCACTGTCTAAAGGTCTAAACCACACCGTAAACAATCTGACGTAACGTAATGAAGAATCACATCATAGAGTGGGACGAAAACATAACCGAAAACAACAACTAGAAAATAAAGATCTTGGAAATCATTACTGCCGAACGAAGTGCCAAATGCAGCAAATACTTTGTTCAGGACGATTATCGTCGTCACCCCACAAATTTATTAACAAACACTTTAGTCTCTCTAATCTATGATTCAGAGATTTTGAAACAGTTTGCTTCGCTACGCAGTCCTCCAACCTTATTTACCTTCGTCATCTCACACCTACAATAATATAATCACAAGGTCAGTAAAAAGTAATGCTCGTCAACCAATAGGGGGCGGCTACACCAAATGTAAATCATCGTCCAAGTTGCTTACCATATTGGAACGCAAGATTACTGTGAATCTTGCTTCTTGATTCTATATTAAATCAGTTAAGAGATAACACAGAAAGAGAGTGAAATTTAATATTTTTTTGTAAGCTTAGTTTAAAACCAGTGCTACAGTGCCCTGAAAACCTCCTCTGGTAGACGTACTGTTACTTTGAAAACACAGTTACCTAAAAGCATCAAATGAGGTATCTTCTCCAATGCTTCGGTTAGCGACGTTAGCAATGTCGCATCATCCCCCAACAGAACACAGTTCGACGCGCAGAACAACGGTCGGAGGTTAGCGAGGGTCGAACCGTCAATCACATGCAACATAACACGGTTGTTGTACACCTTCGGATACAAACCGAGACACTGAAGTCTTAAAGTGCACGTTAAAACAGGGCAGAGAACGATCGATGCACAAACTTCATTCGATCCAGGTGGAACCGGCGTTTGCCCACGTCGAACAACTGGCAGATAGCCAACAGAGGACAGTTCTCCAACTTTCTGGTCACAAGCCTCGCAAGCGCATTTTCGACCGGCGTCAGCTATGAAACGAACAACAGTACATGGAAAAAACAGAGAAACAACAAAAAAACTACCAAACGGCTGGTACTGAACGTGCCGAATACGAAAACTTAAGTTGTTCTAGATCATTCATCCTGTCGTCGACGCATGCACGACTGAACAACTTGTTTTCGACGCCACATCATACCGCTAATCACTTATTCCAGGCCAGTGATATTATCAGACATAAAGAAAAGAGACAACTCCGCCATGGCCGGTCAAAAGCCCGGATGAGAAAGGAGGAGGGTTGAT